GGGTGTGGGCGATGTCACGTGGATCTACCAGGCCACGTGAGTTACCAGATGTCCCAGGCCTCATGCTGTGGTCTGCTGCCCGCATCACATCGACGTCACCCACGATGCTGCCCGACTTCATGACGTCATGATGTCTGCCTGACATCACCACGAGATGTCTGCTGACGTCACAGCGCTTCTGACGTCACCTCGCGACATCACGCCTGACATCACATGATGTCACCATCGAGTGTTCTGTAATTATTGCAGTATTGTCGAGAAGATTGAGAGAAAATATATGTCGTGTGTTAATTTATTCCTCTCAGTCAGCGTTCTCACATTTTAGTATGTCTTAGTCAGTTTTATGCACAGAAAAGCATCATTTGCTAGTTTAAGCCATGATATACTGCGGGTGTTTAAAGTTTCTGTGTCCAGTGAGGTCTGAGCCAGACCTGAGTAGCACCACTGTGTTAAGTCACCCGTGTGACCAGTGTGTTTGACAGCTATCAGACAGCCCCGAGTGACCGAGCCCTCTTGTACAGAAAGCTTTTATGCTCGTCGCTCGTGATGTTCTGCAGAATCGTACCTGCTACGATTCCCATCGAGATTTGTTTCACTTCACCTCCAGACCTTCAGAGTACAGTTATATGTAGAGAAACAAGTCTGGGGACTCTTAGACTAACCTCTGCTATAACTCCAACTGCCGAGAGAATGACACACTGTGTCAGCCTCATGTCACAAGCTTCAGTGAGCAGCCTGCACAAAGAAGATGTCACTTTGACTGCTAGCTCTCTCACTGCAGTCTGGTGTATGATGTTATGACTCCCAGATGTTTCACCCAGTCGTCTCTGCCACGACTCGCTCCACAACTCGCTCCATGCTCGCCGGCAGTGACAGCCCAGCGACAGTACCAGTCGAGAAGTGTCCTCCTGAGTCGCTTGCCAGAAGTCTTGCCCAGTTGCCGAGTTTTGTCGATGCCTCACTCGAGGGCACCAGCATGTCGTGTCCCAGGTTGAGTGAAAACCTGCAGCGACTCCTATGATGACTGCTTCACCATTCCAGAGGAGACCGTACCCTGTTACGTCACAGCTCAGCCGCAGCCATGTCTCCTGTGTTGCAGTATCTGTCCAGACGCAGGAAGGCGTGCAGTGATGCCCATCGACGCTCATTGCCTATGACCACAATGTTTAGCACACCCCACATGTTTTTTTCTTCCCTCCCTGTAGGAAGTTTTTTTTCCATGTCCATATGTATATATATGTTTTTATTTTGTGTTCTGTGCCCTGTTCCTACGAGAGAGAGACCGATTTTCTTTTACTACCAGTATTGTCGCGTCGGGACGACGCGCGGTAGGTGGCCAAGCGTATGTAGACAGCCTGTACTGTCTGCACAGACAGCCCATGCTGTCTGCCAGCTTAGTTCATATTTCGCGCCATGCTGGTGCTGCCACCTATAGGCCTTGCCACTTCAGTATGCCCAGACTTGCCTCACTCTCACTCACACAGCGGCCTAGCAGCAAGACACAAGGCTGCTCCTAGCTCTCTCTCGTGGGATGGCCCTCCCGGGCCATGGGCTCAAACAACACACAAGCCTGTGTACCCACCACGACTTAACAATAAAGTAAGAAGCCTCCGAAGACGTATCATTTACTCCCCGCTACCAGAACACCAAACAAATTCGTTATACATTGTTGTGGTCTTTGAAGGTGATATCCTCTGACATATCACTCCCAGATCCTTCACATTACTTTTCCACTCTATTGTATGGTTAGAATTTGTTGTATACCCTGATACATTTTTAATTTCTTTAAGTTTCCCATATCTGAGTAGCTGAAATTTCTCCTCATTGAACTTTATATTGTTTTAAGTCGCCCATTCGAAGATTTGGTTGATGTCCGCTTGGAGTCTCGCAGTGTCTTCGATGGTAGGCTTTAATATTTGCTGGTTTAAGGTGAGTTTGGTGCAGAGACTTAATAGTTCGTGTGTGTGTGAATTTTCATCTGAGCTGCCTCCTTGGGTGATCTCTGCTAAAACATTGTTTGCTATACTCCTCTATTTTAGGTGCCTCAAGTTGAAATTTCCTAGTGGTGAGACGTTTGGGGCAGGAGTTGGGAGATTTTCCAGACAGTGGTCAATTTTCAAAAGCTGCTCCTGGAATTGCTGGGAAGTTGTATCTGAAGGCTTGTACACTACCACAATGACAAGGTTTTGGTTTTTAGTCTTTGCTGCCAAAACTTCAACTATATCATTTGAAGTGTTTAGTAGTTCTGAACAAATGAACGACTCTGTAACGTACAAGCCAACCCCCCTCCCCCACTTGTTGCCTGTTTAGTCTCTCCCATCTGAATAGATTATAACCTGGGATTTATATGTCGTTGTCATAATGATCGTGTAGTACATAGATATATTTCAAGTCTGGTTTATTAAGTTTGGAGTCAATCCAGAACTTGACAGTCATCCAGGATGTCTGTTTGAATTATACTTGACAGTCATTTAGGATGATTGAATGGATTACACTTGACAGTCATTTAGGATGATTGTTTGGACTACACTTGACAGTGAATCAGGATGATTGATTGGATTATTGCAGCCATGTATAAACGTAAGTAACCATTCTTACAGTATTCATTACCTTTGTAATTTGTGAGTTCATTACCTTTGTAACTTGTGAGTTCATTACCTTGTACCTAGTTCAGCTATCAAAACTTTGGGGGCCCAGTCCCTGGACCCATTACGTACCTCTGTAATCTGTAAATACCTTTGTAACTTGTCATGATTGTGACTAGACCTACCTGGAGTTCATTACCTTTGTAAATTGTGAGTTCATTACCTTTGTAAATTGTGAGTTCATTACCTCTGTAACTTGCTCAGCTATCAAAACTTTGGAGTCCAGTCCCTGGACCAATTATGTACCTCTGTAATCTTTTGACTACCGCCCACAGGATGGGTATGGGGTGCATAATAAACATATTAAACTAACTAACTAAACTTTGGGGGAATTAATTACCGAGAAGCTACAGAGGTGTTCAATAAAGGATGTAGGCAACTTATTAGCATGCAGGACTTGGAGGAGTGCCAAGGTCGCTGGCACCCTTCCATGGTGCCTAGAGGAAGTCCATCTTCCTAAACCCGAGATGAGATATTGAGCTAGAACAACAAATAGTAGAGTATCATTTATAAATAATGGACACTAATATAAATTTAGCCCTTTGGCTGTCTTCAGGAAGGCGCTGGACAGGCACTGAAAGTTAATACCTGATCAGCCGGGATGTGGTTCGTACGTCGGTTTGCGTGCGGCTAGGTAACAGCCTGGTTGATCAGGCACTGATCCATCGTGCGGCCTGGTCACAGACCGGGTCGCGGGGGCATTGACCCCCGAAACCTTCTCCAGGTAGCCTGTCTATAGCAGCTATACTGAACATTGATATCAGTGTCAATAAAATGGACTGTATATTTATGACATTCAGATTTAAGTTTATGTCTACATGATACATTGTTGATACAGAAATGGTTGACACTTGAATGTATGCAGAAAGCTCGTGGTTATGCAGAGCATTTCGGGAAAGCTAAATAAATTAATCAGTCAGCAAGAGCACACTAATCTTATTTCTCCCATCTGGTGAAGACGTCAGACGGAGTTCAGTTATCACCGTGGGTTACTTCTTTGACAGAGATGCGTCACACTCACAAATTTACTACGTACATTCCACATCTTATTGTACTACGAAGATTACTGAGCTCTCACCTAACATTTTCTCAATTTATCTCTAAAATTAAAATTTCACAATTCCTAACCTTAATTTACCTGGAAGTGGCTAAATTCGGTCACTTCTCTTAATAAGTCACTTCGTCTAACTTTTTGGGGGTTATCCGAGGTATTCTATACATATTACCATATATGATAATGGTAGAAATGTGTGCCTGTACCTAAATAAACTTACTAACTTGTGTGACAGTATTAACTTTGTTTTAAACCTTCCCACAAGATTTATGATTATGACCATCTTGCATGTGCAGAATATTCAACTGATCTTTGGGTTCACACATTTACAATGTTATTCTCTTATTCTTCAGTTAGTGTCCTAACATTTTACACAAGTTACCCAAATTAAATACATTATGATAATAATTAGAGGGTAAACTCAGTTATAAACTTGCCGATTTTTTTTTTCCTCATTTTACACCCCGTCTCGAACTAAACAAATTCACAAATAATACAAATTATACCCAAGATTAAATCAATCAGAACTTATATTAAAAATTTCCACACAACTGTTACTGTTGATGGTATTTAGTGGCATAGTTAGTAGCCTCAGCCCACACTGATGTGAACTTTAACAAGTAAACAAGTAGGTAAGTGTATTTAGGCACAGATACACATAAGTACAGTTATCATACGTAGTGTAAATTACCTAGGATAACTTTGATAGATGGTCTATTGTCACACCTTGCGTCACTGTATGCTGGAATGCCATAAAATTAATGAATTCAGAGACAACTCGCTCAGAAATGTTCAAGAAATGTCAAAGTATTTTATCCACAGTGATGTACTACCAACCATTCTGGAAAAATACCCAGACTCTGTCCACTGTGAATAACCCATAACCACAATCTTTTTTTTTTTCTCTTTTTTGTGACCTAATTGATTTCTGCATCAAGAACTCTACGATTGTAACCAGATATAAACATGTAAAGAGTTCATTACCGCTGTAATTTGTTCAGCTATCAAACTCTGCGGCCCAGTCCCTGGACCCATTATGCGCCTCTGTTATCTTTAAGTACCTCCCACACCACGGGTATGAGACATAAAACTAATCGAGGGACCGGGGTTCGAGCCCCGGTACGAGAGGAAACGTTGGGCACGTTTCCTCACACCTGCTGCCCTTGTTCACCCACTGTAGCACACTATGTGTATGATAATTGTACCTATGTGTACCTGTGCCTAAATAAACTTACTTAGCAGTAAGTAGGTACCTGTTGTGTGTGGCATCCTGGGGGAGAGAGAGGGACAGAGGATACAAAGGACTCAAGTGGAAATAAGACAATCTGATGACATCGTAACTTTACGGAGTTACCCGAATAAAATAATTTTCTATATGTATTATTATTACTGCTAGTAGTATTAAAAATTAGTACTATTACAAGCAGAACTCATTGATTTTTCAAAGGTGGCGGGAGTGTGAGTGAGTGAGGTGAGTGTTGAGGCAGCCAGCTGGACCCACCCTCCCAGGTAATGTTAATATTTGGTTATCACTGTAATTAACATGTTTCTACCTTATCAGTCATTATTATCTCTCTCCCAGACCCACCTACTTGATCTTGCTTCACTCCAGTGGCACCTTAAACTCTAGTAAAACCTCATGAAAATAGTGAACTTGGATTAACAATACTTGTACTTTGTTTACGGTGGGGGATTATTTTTTTAAGATTACACGTATTTTAATCATTTTTTTTTTTGTAGAGATTGTTAAATAATGAGTTTTTGTAGTCGACAGTTATTGAAAGGTAGTTGTTTTATTTATTGACAGGTGACTTACATGTGCATAGTTTGAAACTTTCAGTGTTAAAGCTGCATTCCTTCGTAATGTTTTAACTAGTACATTAATACATTTAGATTTTTTTTTTATTTAAGACATTTAATACATAATATACATGATATTTTGGTCAATGTGTACTTTATTCCCGGGTATTTTTAATGTAAATTGTCCAGTATTAAGTGTGTTATGCAGTGGAGATATATACATGTGTTTAATACCAATGGGGAAAGACCTTTTTACTGACAACTACTCTGTGGAAATCAGATAATAATTTACACTTTTCAGTACATACAAGCCATGTACATCATGGAATAAGTAAATACTTGTGGAAATATTATTTTAGGAGATATTGACAAAAATTTCTTAGATTAGGTTACTATACATCGGTTTACATGCAGCTATCAGTAACAGCCTGGTTGATCAGGACCTGATTCACCGTGAGGCCTGGTCACGGACCAGGCCGCTGGGATGCTGACCCCCAAAACACCCTCCAGGTATACATCATTAGGCAAGGTATCATTTAGGATAGGTTAGGTGAGGTGGTAGTTTACATTTGGTCAGTGTGATGCATGACCTAAATGATTTTGTTTCTTCCTATCTCTCAAAATAGTTTGCACAAGAAATGATTGCTGCTTAATCCATGATGCACACTATAAAGGTTGTACATATGGAAAAGTGTAAAATATTGACCGAATTCCAATGAATTGTTGTCTGTAATTATTACGCTTTTTTTTAATGTAACAACTCATTATTACCTAACTTAACTTACAGTTTTACACCTGGTCTAAGTTAGGTTGGGTTAAGTTATGTTAATAAACTTTTCAAAATATAGCTTATTTACTATTCAAAATATAGCTTATCTTTATTGTACAACTCACCAAATAAAAAAAAGTACATAATAAATGATGCTTTTATTTTGCCTGTCATAACACAAATAAAAAATTTGTGCAATAAATAACTTTTTTTGTGCATTAGATAACATGATTGCTGTTTGTGCTGTAATATAAAAATGTTAATGAACTTCTGTCCTGGGAAAATGTACATAATGATTTTTTTTTTTGTGTGTGTGTTAACAATAGTGATGAGGGCACATGTAATTTTGGTACTTATATTCATACAGTATTACATTATCTAGATTTAACCTTGGATAACCCAATATAAAAATCAGTGTGACTTATTTCCATTATGACACAGGTATGAAAATTATGATATCTACACATGGTATGTATCTTAGAGGATTTTATTCAGACCATTAATCTGATGTGTGAGTAATCCAGGATAATCAAAGAAAGCTAATCAATTTAATTTGGCCTATTAACATTGAAATCCTGTGATCTACTTTCTCAGGACAGGGCTCTCAACAGTCAGTTAACACCCCAGGCACCTGCTTACTGCTAGGTGAACAGGGCAACAGGTGAAAGGAAATTGCACAGCATTTCCACTTGTCCCAGGATGAAACCCAAGACAAGTTAGCTGCAAGCCAAAGGTGCTACCACTTAAGCTCTCAGGTACCTAGTTAGCTTTAGTAATGATATTTAGCTATTTACTATTCATATACTTATTCCCAAATATCCAACATAAAATTTATATTTGTTTCTGATAAACGTATTGTCTCTTTTATGCAATAATCATGAACGAGTGAAACAAGATGCAAAATAACCACAGGGAGAGATGAATGGTAGCACTAGGCCTTTTATGTTGCAGTCAGTGCTTGCAATATTGCAGAAATAGAGCAGGAAATCCAGGAAGATCCATTCATGTGAATGGCTGTAAAGGATAATGAGACTTGGCATCGGGAAGGGTGCTGGGCACCAGAAAGCAGATAGCATATTACAGAATATGAACATAAAAACATATATAAAGCCCATCAGCACTGAATATTTAGTAATGACCTAGTGACCACAACATTAGTGGGTGTGAGTTGGACCTGACTAGCTTGTGCTACTAGGTCAAATGCAGTGCTCCTCCCTTAAGTGACGTGTCTGACCTCACTAGGTCAAGGTATTGGCTTAAGCCAGTATGAGAATTGGAGCTGCCTCGCATAGGCCATTAGGCCTGTTGCAGTGTTCCTTCTTTCTTATGTTCTTATGAACATAGGTAAAACTTTCTCATCAATATATACAGTGGATCCTCTACTTGCGAATTTAATCCGTTCCACAACCTTGCTCGCAACTGGATTTGCTCGTTTGCAGAGTCAATTTTCCTCATTTAAATTAATTGAAATGCAATTAATCCGTTCCAGTGGAATTCTGTACTTCAATAATTTCGCTTATTTATCTATCTCACTTCATCTAACATGACATAATAAACAATATAAATAACACAGAAACCTGATATATACTCTAAAATTAATAAAATATGTAATTCATATAGTGGTATGGGCGGTGTCGGCGATGGACGAGAGTTTGTCTTGAGACCGGACAAAATACTTCTTGAATAATTTTGTGAATATCATCTATACGGCTTATTTATCTATCACAGTTGATCTAATATTTCATAAACAATATAAATAACATAGAAACCTGATATATACTCTAGAATCAATAAAATATGTCAGTATATATGTGGTGGTGGTGGTGGCTGACAAGTTTGTCTGGAGACAGGACAAAATATTCCTTGAATATTTCGCTATCATCAACTCTACAGCTTATTTATCTATCACAGTTCATCTAATATGAAATAATAAACAATATTAATAACATTAGAAACCTGATATACGCTCTAGAATGAATAAAAATGTCATCATGTAACAGGCGGAGGCAGCCACAACCGCTCCCTCTTTGTTGTGGTAAACACTGCCATCTAGTGATGGTCTTTTGAAGCCATCTATTATTATAATTATTATTATGTAGTACATTATTATTATATATGTATTATTATTATACATAGAATGGACCCATGGTTCGCGATATTAATCCGTTCCTGAGAGCTCATCGTAAACCAAAATTATCGGAAAGCGAATCAATTTTCCCCATAAGAAATAATGGAAATCAAATTACTCCGTGCAAGACACCCAAAAGTATGAAAAAAAAACTTTTACCACATGAAATATTAAGTTTAATGCACACAAACTGAAGAAGACATGCACAGTTTGTAGTATGTATGTTGGTTTGCATGCAGCCAACAGTAACAGCCTGGTTGATCAGGCTCTGATCCACCAGGAGGCCTGGTCACAGACCGGGCCGTGGGAGCGTTGATCCCCGGAACTCTCTCCAGGTAAACTCCAGGTACTAAGAATAGAATACATGACACTTACCTTGAATGAAGATCTGGTGATGATTGATGGGATGGGAGGAGGGGAGAGTGTTGAGCCTATTGTTTAGAAGGGGAATCTCCCTCCATTAGGACTTGAGGTAGCAAGTCCTTTTCCGAGGTTACTTCCCTTCTTCTTTTAATGCCACTAGGACCAGCTTGAGAGTCACTGGACTTCTGTCACACAACATATCTGTCCATAGAGGCCTGTACCTCTCGTTCCCTTATGACTTTCCTAAAGAGGTTCACAACAGTGTCATTGTACAGGTTGCCAACACGGCTTGCAGTAGCTGTCTGAGGGTGATTTTCATCAAAAAAGCTTTGCACTTCAAGTAAGTCACTTTGCACACATTTCCCTAATCTTTGAATTAGGCAACTTCTTCACTTTATCCATCCCCTCCTCCGAAGCAGTTTCCACAGGTCTGGCCTCTTGCTGTTGAAGATGATCTAGCAGCTCATCAGTGGTTAGTTCGTCATTGTCCTCCTCCACCAACTCTTCCACATCCTCCCCACTAACCTCCAACCCCAAGGACTTCCCCAATGCCACAATGGATTCCTCAACTGTCATAGGCTTCTCAGGGTTAGCCTCTAACCCTTCGAAATCCCTTTTGTCTACACATTCTGACCACAGTTTTTTCCAGGCAGAGTTCAAGGTCCTCTTAGTCACTTCCTCCCAAGCCTTACTTAAAAGGTTTACACAATTGAGGATATTAAAGTGATCCTTCCAAAACTCCTTTAGAGTCAATAGAGTTTCTGAGGTCACTACAAAGCACCTTTCAAACATAGCTTTTGTGTACAGTTTCTTGAAGTTTGCAATAACCTGCTGGTCCATGGGCTGCAGGAGAGGAGAGGAGAGACCAAGAAAACAAGAATACAAACATAAAAATTATACGAAAAAATGCCGCTAAGGGGTGGCTAATTGCTGAGAAGTGAATTCCATTATTTATGCTCCGATTTCTTTCATTTTTGGTGTACATGAAGAAGCATCTTTCCATCATACATTGCCCAAATTTCAATAAGATAGTCCAACAAACAAATGAAATACAATTCCCTAGATCAAGAGCAAGAGTCCCTCACCAACATCAAGGAACCTGCCTTGAGGTCTGCTCGCTTATGGAAATTTTGCTCGTGTATGGAAGCAAAAAATAGACCCATCAACTGCTCGCATTTGGAAAAACTTGCATGTGGATGCGCTCACAAGTACAGTGGACCCCTGCATAACGATATTAATCCGTTCCTGAGAGCTCATTGTTATGCGAAATTATCGTTATGCAAGTGAATTTTCCCCATAAGAAATAATGGAAATCAAATTAATCTGTGCAAGACACCCCAAAGTATGAAAAAAAAATTTTTACCACATGAAATATTAATTTTAATACACACAAACTAAAAAAGGCATGCACAGTTACATGACACTTACCTTTATTGAAGATCTGGTGATGATTGATGGGATGGGAGGAGGAGAGAGTCTTAATGTTTAGAAGGGGAATCCCCTTCCATTAAGACTTGAGGTGTCAAGTCCTTTTCTGGGGTTACTTCCCTTCTTCTTTTAATGCCACTAGGACCAGCTTCAGAGTCACTGGACTTCTGTCGCACAACATATCTGTCCATAGTGGCCTGTACCTCTTGTTCCCTTATGACTTCCCTAAAGTGTTTCACAACAGTGTCAGTGTAATAGTCACCAGCACGGCTTGCAATAGCTGTGTTAGGGTGATTGTCATCAAAAAAGGTTTGCACTTTAAGCCACATTCCACACATTTCCTTAATCTTTGAAGTAGGCAACTTCTTCAATTTCTCTCTCCCCTCCTCCGAACCAGTTTCCTCAGGTCTGCCCTCTTGCTGTTGAAGTTGATCTAGCAGCTCATCAGTGGTTAGTTCTTCATTGTCCTCCTCCACCAACTCTTCCACATCATCCCCACTAACCTCCAACCCCCAAGGACTTTCCCAATGCCACAATGGATTCCTCAACTGGCATACTCCTCTCAGGGTTAGCCTGAAACCCTTCAAAATCCCTTTGGTCTACACATTCTGACCACAGTTTCTTCCAAGCAGAGTTCAAGGTCCTCTTAGTCACTCTCTCCCAAGCCTTACCTATAAGGTTTACACAATTGAGGATATTAAAGTGCTGTCTCCAAAACTCTCTTAGAGTCAGTTGAGTTTCTGAGGTCACTACAAAGCACCTTTCAAACAGAGCTTTTGTGTACAGTTTTTTGAAGTTTGCAATAACCTGCTGGTCCATGGGCTGCAGGAGAGGAGTGGTATTAGGAGGCAAAAACTTCACCTTAATGAAGCTCATGTCCCCATAAAGTCGCTCTGCCACGTCTGTAGGATGACCAGGGGCATTGTCTAACACCAGGAGGCACTTAAGTTCTAATTTCTTTTCAGTTAGGTAATCTTTCACATTGGGGGCAAATGCATGGTGTAACCAGTCATAGAAAAAGTCCCTAGTGACCCATGCCTTACTGTTTGCCCTCCACAGCACACACAAATTAGCCTTGAGGATATTCTTTTGCCTGAACGCTTTGGCAGTTTCTGAGTGATACACTAATAAAGGCTTCACTTTGCAATCACCACTAGCATTGGAACACATCAACAGAGTAAGCCTGTCTTTCATAGGCTTATGTCCTGGGAGTGCCTTTTCCTCCTGAGTAATGTAGGTCTGCTTGGCATTTTCTTCCAAACAGGCTGTTTCATCACAATTAAACACTTGTTCAGGTTTCAGTCCTTCACTGTCTATGTACTCCTTGAATTCCTGCACATATTTTTCAGCTGCTTTGTGGTCCGAACTGGCAGCCTCACCATGCCTTATCACACTATGTATGCCACTACGCTTCTTAAATCTCTCAAACCAACCTTTGCTGGCCTTAAATTCACTCACATCATCACTAGTTGCAGGCATTTTTTTAATTAAATCCTCATGCAACTTCCTAGCCTTTTCACTTATGATCACTTGAGAGATGCTATCTCCTGCTATCTGTTTTTCATTTATCCATACCAATAAGAGTCTCTCAACATCTTCCATCACTTGCGATCTCTGTTTCGAAAACACAGTTGAACCTTTGGCAAGAACAGCTTCCTTGATTGCCGTTTTGTTGCCCACAATAGTAGTGATGGTTTCGAAAACACAGTTGAACCTTTGGCAAGAACAGCTTCCTTGATTGCTGTTTTGTTGCCCACAATAGTAGTGATGGTTGATTGGGGTTTATTATACAACCTGGCCAGCTCGGAGACACGCACTCCACTTTCATACTTAGCA